CTCCTCGGCGATCAGCCTGGCCGCCCCCAGGGACACGGACCACGAGCTCACGCAGAAGCTGGTGGAGACCCTGAAGCCCTTCGGGGTGTTCGAGGAGGAAGAGGAGCTGCAGCGCAGGATTCTAATTTTGGAAAAACTAAACAACTTGGTGAAGGAGTGGATACGCGAAATCAGTGAAAGCAAGAGTCTTCCGCAAGCTGTGACTGAGAGTGTTGGGGGGAAAATTTTCACGTTCGGCTCTTACAGACTGGGAGTGCACACGAAGGGTGCCGATATCGATGCGCTGTGCGTCGCGCCGAGACATGTCGACCGCAGCGACTTTTTCACCTCATTTTATGATAAATTGAAACTACAGGAAGAAGTCAAAGATTTAAGGGCCGTTGAGGAGGCATTTGTACCAGTGATCAAACTGTGTTTTGATGGGATAGAGATAGATATTTTGTTTGCAAGATTAGCATTGCAGACTATTCCAGAAGATTTGGACTTAAGAGATGACAGTCTGCTTAAAAATTTAGATATTAGATGCATAAGAAGCCTAAATGGCTGCCGGGTAACTGATGAAATTTTGCATCTAGTACCAAACATTGACAACTTCAGGCTAACTCTGAGAGCCATCAAATTGTGGGCCAAATGCCACAATATCTATTCCAATATATTAGGTTTCCTTGGAGGTGTTTCCTGGGCTATGCTAGTAGCAAGAACCTGCCAGCTTTATCCAAATGCAATAGCATCAACTCTTGTTCGTAAATTTTTCCTGGTGTTTTCTGAATGGGAATGGCCAAATCCAGTGTTATTAAAAGAGCCTGAAGAACGAAATCTTAATTTACCTGTGTGGGACCCAAGAGTAAATCCCAGTGATAGGTACCATCTTATGCCTATAATCACACCAGCATATCCACAGCAGAACTCCACATACAATGTTTCAGTTTCAACCAGGATGGTCATGATTGAGGAGTTTAAGCAAGGGCTTGCTATCACACATGAAATTTTGCTGAACAAGGCAGAGTGGTCCAAACTTTTTGAAGCTCCAAGCTTCTTTCAAAAGTACAAACATTATATTGTACTTCTGGCAAGTGCACCAACAGAAAAACAACATCTAGAATGGGTGGGCTTGGTGGAATCAAAGATCCGAATTCTGGTTGGGAGCTTAGAGAAGAATGAATTTATTACACTGGCACACGTGAATCCCCAGTCATTTCCAGCACCCAAAGAAAATCCTGACAAGGAAGAATTTCGTACAATGTGGGTGATTGGGTTAGTGTTAAAAAAGCCAGAAAATTCTGAAACTCTCAGTATCGATCTCACCTATGATATTCAGTCTTTCACAGATACAGTTTATAGGCAAGCAATAAATAGTAAGATGTTTGAGATGGATATGAAAATTGCTGCAATGCATTTAAGAAGAAAGGAGCTTCATCAACTACTCCCTAATCATGTTCTTCAGAAAAAGAAAACACATTCTGCAGAAGGTATAATGTTGTCAGCTGTAAATGACAGCAACCTCCACTTGACTGTAGATAGTGAAAACAGCATGTCTGTGCCTTTACCTATGGGTGCCACAAAGACTGGCCCATTGACTGGCAGCCCTCAGGGAAGAAGCAGTCCTGCTCTGGCTGTGATGGCAACATCTGTGACCAACATACAGGCTCCTGAACTTTCCTTGCAACAAGTGAATCCCAGTGAAAGCTCAGGGGTTACATTGAGTGAAAGCATTCCTCAGACTCCCTCACAGCCTACCATTTCTCCACCACCAAAGCCCACAGTCACCAGAGTTGTTTCTTCAACACATTTGGTAAATCATCCACCTAGACCTTCAGGAAATGCAGCAACTAATATACCTAATCCTATAGTAGGAATGTAGAGGACATTCTCACTTCATAAAGACAGAAAACCAGAACAGAAGGGCAACAACCAGATAAGTACAGCTCAGTTAGAAACAGACAGCAACTTCTCTGTTGGCCTCTCAGGAAACATCTGGCTCAGATATACTTGGTATCCCTGTTCTCTCTCCAGATCCTATTCCTGTTATCAAGAATTCAGTAAAACATACTGAATGGAAATGGATAAAGACAACCACAAGGGCCCATAAACAATATCTGCCAACTCAACCTGTTGTCTTCAAATGCTAAAGAAGGAGAACAAGGGTACCAGACTAGATATGACTCAAAAGATTAATGTTCACTTGGTAACTTCCTTTACTGACTTAATCTTGATCAGAAGTCCAGATTAGTATGTGAAGCTAGAAGTGCCGTTATTAATGCCTCAGATTATTTGTGTTAGTCCCAGTACATTAACTATTTCAAAGAGACCACTACTCTTAAAAGATGAGAAAAATATAGAAAAGAAAAAAACAACTATATTTGTACCCATGACTGACATCTGGACTGAATTTATGTTTGATGCATTTTTGGGGGAAATTTGCAATACAAACTAATATCAGAATTCCTAATATTAATAATGCACTTTATGTACTTTTTTTAAGGTTAGAAATCATAACTAATTTTGGCTTTTTCAGCTTGGTGAATTTTAGTTTTTTTTTTTCCTTGAAGAAGTTTCTTCAGTACTGATCTTAAAATTGGATACCATTGTGCAGTGGTGTAATATACTTCAGAGAAAGCATATAAGTACATGTAACTCAGTCCCTGTGAGATAACTGCAAACCCTTAAAAATGAAATGTCAACTCTTGGGTATATATTTGACATCAAAACAGTAATTACTAAGTGTTTGGTTTTGATGGGACATGACCTAGAAATGATAGCTGTAGGATGATATTAGAGAGCGCATGATCAGCAATCAGACATTTTCTTTGAGCTAGCAAAGCTCCATATTCTCCTGTCCTCAATCATTTGTCCTAAAATAAGCTTATGGCCTCTACCCTCTTCTCTTTGCTGTGTGCACAGGGTATGCTTGTATGTTGTTTCATTAAAAAACATGGAAATCTAGTATTTTCTAAACCATGATGTGAAACCAACAATCTTGTGCCACATGGCACAAAACACCAAATTGATTCCATGGCTAATATTTCAGTAAAACTTCACTAAATATTTAATCTCTGTGTCTGAGAAGTTTTACAAATTCCATAGAATACTGCTTTATAGGAAAGCTAATTCCCAATCTTTGTCTTTTCCATAGGCAAAAAAAGACATTTTCTGCAAGAATCTTTAACCAATTGTTATTTTTTAAAGACTTACCAAAAACCATCAGTGGATTTTTCATGTAGTCATATAAAAATAATTTCTAGAAAGCATTTGATAGCTAGTTAGCTTTCTATTCTTTCGTTTTTATCCAAGATTAGAAATACTGTTCTTTAAAAAGGATCCCTCATAATAGAGCATAAGCAGCTGAATACCCATGTCCAGGAACCACGAGGGATAATGGATGTAGATGAATGAAAGCCCAGAAGACTTAACAGATTTTCCAAGTAGCCTGGTTCTGTCTTCCCCTCTCCCACCTGTGTTCCCTTTTCCCATGCGTGCATTCTTTTTCTTGTTTCATGTTAAACTGCAATGTTTAGACTCTTTCCCTGTCCTTCTAGATAAATTTTCCAAAGTTGGAAGATAGTCTTTTTCCTTTTAGGCTATGCAGTAATTGAGACTTTCTGATATCTGGTATACAATATTTCTGTGTCTCACGTCTTCGCCCTGTGCAGTCACCTTACCCTTCCACGACAATAATAAATCAGGTGAAACGTGCACAGTATCTGTATTTTGAATAGCTATGGTGTTTGGTTGAAATCTCCAGGCACAAGTTTAGTCTTGTCATTTTGTTTACACATTGGCAAAAAAATTAGTTTATTAAGTGTTTCATGTAGCCATACCTGTTTTACCAAGCTGGAAACTTGGGACTTTTTAATTCTAGTTTTTATTACCTGAATATCAGACTATTTTTTCATGTGATATATGTAGAGTCTCATGCCTGGGGTTTGCTTTGTTATGTAGTATCTGTACTCCTTGTATTTTCAAGCACTATTTTGAAAACAGATAATGTATTTCTCCATTACAAACACAATAAAAATAAGTGGCAAACAAATAAGTGAAACTAAAATACTGAATAATGTTTAAATCTGATAAGAATTCAGATGTTCTTACATTGTTCTGAAAGAGGGTAGAAACACTGATGAATTTTTCAACTTTACTGACCCTAAAATGTATGGTATAATGTTGGGCAAATGAAAGGGTTAAAACTTCAGCTCTTTCAATAATAATTTTTAAATGGAGTTAAAACTTAATACAAAAGAGTGCAAAAGCTGGGTGTGGTGATGCACACCTGTAATCCCAGTGGCTTGGGAGGCTGAGGCAGGAGGATGACATATTCAAAGCCAGCCTCAGCAATTTGGTGAGGCCCTAAGAAACTTAGCGAGACCCTGTCTCTAAAATAAAGGACTGGGGATGTGGTTCAGTGGTTAAGTGCCTCTGGGCTCAATCCATGGTACCCCTCCTCACCAAAAAGAAGAATGCAAAACAGAAAGGAGGGAAAAGAGACAAATAGAGAAGGAGATAATTATCTAAGGTAGTGGGAATTAAGACAAACATACCCATCACTACTAAAAGTGGATGAAACATCTGGAGTAAAAGACAGATTGTCAGAGTCTGTGGAAAAATTAAGTCAGGCTGTGTGTTATTTTATTTTCAAGAGACATTCAAAATGTAAGGCATGAAAATGGTGTTTGGGGGTGGGGTGGGGATAAGCTAATGAGAAGAAGCTGGTACTGTAACAACAACATTCAAACATTTCAAAAACAGTTACGGGACGAGAGGGCCACTGCATTAATGATAGAAGAAAGCATGCACCAGGAAAATGGGACCATTTGTAACTTCTTTGCACCTGATAAATTAGCTTGCATAAAATAACAGCAGAGATTAATGGGTATTGCCAAATGTGTCATCATCAAAGAAAATTTAAAAACAGCTCTGATATTGAGCAGACAAAAGGTAGAAGGGAAATGGTTTTTGAACTCAATCTAGTGTAGAAGTTGGTGATCTTTTTCTATAAAGGGCCAGCTAGTACATCGTTTCAGTTTTGTGAGACCATACGGTCTCTGTCACAACCACTTAACTCTGCTTTGTAGAACGAAAGCAGACACTGACAATACATTAGCAGATGGCCAGGGCTGGATCTGTCACCCATCTCCTGCCCCCACCATTGTTTGTTTGCTATCAGTGATTTCCAGGACATTCATTATAGAACTCTCCACCTGACAACTGGAAAATTCATATAATTCTGGAGTAAGTATTGAGCATGTATAAAAATTAACCTCCGTGCTAGGTTAGAAAGTAATATTCAACATATTTCCAAGTATCTGACTCCTAAAATATGTTGTGTGAATTCAGTATTGTAAGCTAGGAATCAGTAACAAATGACACAGAAGAATTTCCTAAGGAAGACCCAGAAAAGCTCTAACCATATAAGAAGAAATTGATAACAAAAGATTTTCTTCATCAAATAATGAAAATGAAAAGCTGACAAATAATCTTAATTGGGGAGAAGAGTTTGTAATACATAAAACTGACAAATGATTAATGTCCAAAATATATTAAAGATGGCAAGAAAAAATATATTTAAAAAGATCAAATAAATCAGTTAAAAATGGGCAAAAGAAATACACAGGCATTTCACAGAAAAGGAACTAGGAATGATCAATCAATAAGAAAAGATCCTATTCTTGTAAGAAATAAAATATGAATTAAGACCAGGGAAAAAACTATTGTTTTAAATTTTGAGACAGATCTCATTAAATTGCAGAGGCCTTATATTTGGGATCCTTTTGCCTCAGCCTCCCCAGTCTCTGGGATTACAGGAGTGCACCACCATGCCCAGCTTAGGAAAAAACTTTTTCACAAAAATGAAAAAGGCTCACAATATCTAGGTTGATGAGGTTGAGGAGCAGTGGGAACCTCAGCACAGGACCAAGGATAGTGCACGTTGTTTTGACCCCTCTGGGAACAGTTGGCCTTATCTAGTTAGGTTGACATGCCTCTACGCTGGAGTCCCAGATGTTCTACTCGAAATCTTTGCATCATGCTGGGGGGCATGGATGTGCTTCATCTCTCTGGTCCCCTTAACCCTTGGGATGGCCAGAGTCTGTGGGCCCATAGCTGCATCTGGGACTTTATATATCATTTAGCTGCCTCCAATGTGCCACGTAAATTTTCTGTATACACTGTGGTGTCAGAGAAGTTGGGAAGCACTTTCCAAGAGGCTGTGTCCCATGGGTAACCAAGAAGCCTGTGGAGTGTTGATAGTGTTTTGTGTTAGCCTAAAACTCGAAACAACCCACATATCCACCACACATACCCATCAAGGGTGGAATGGCTGAGAGTGGTGCATTCATGCAGTCAGTACCATAAAGCTGTGAAAGTAAACCCTAGCTACGTATGTCCACATTCACATGTGTCAGATTGCTGAGGAAAAAAACAAATGGCTGAAAAGTACATCAAGTGTAGTATAATTTATATAAGATTTTAAAACTAGTAAAGTCAAGCAGTATAATTCAAAGTTGCAGAAATGTGTGGAATAACTATAAATTAAAAATAAGGGACTGTTAAACAAAGAATCCAAAATAGGGGTTCTCCTTGGTAGGGTAAGAGATGGAAAATTGTACATAATGGAATGATTCATTATTTTTAGGTTGAATGGTGGGTACAAAGGTATTCATTTTATTATTAGTTTAAGTTATAAATGCTTTCATACTTGTGAAATATGCCCTGTGCAGTCACCTTACCCTTCAATACCAACATCAATACCAAAGTGATATCGTGAAATAATCGATTTTATCAAGTTAGCAATTGCATTTGGCCAGGATTTAGCTTGAACACAGTGCAGTTTTATTTCCTTCCACATAACGGATAATAAGCTCAGGGCTGGCTTGTCTGGTCATGAGGGCTCCAAGTTGTTTCCACTTTTGTCTGCCACCTCATTCTGTTCTCAGAGTCATTCAAGGTACAGAATGGCTGAGGGGGCCCCTGGCACCCCACCTCATTTAGAGCAGGAAGGAAGGGCAAGGCAGAGGTGTTCCTGCAAACTCTGTCCTCCTGTGGAGCTTTCCTGATCATCCCCCCACAGGAGCATCCCTCATGTTTTACCTGCTGGAGCTCATTTCCGTGACCGTGCCTACCTGCAAGGGACCCCCGAAAATGCAGTTCCTGTTGACTGGGCAAACTCACCAGTAGCCCAGGGATTGTGCTATGAGGAAGAAGAGCGTGGGGACTGGCAGTGGGTGACAGCCTTCCCAACATACACTAGCCTCCCAGACGGCCTCCAGTGTCTTCAGGTCTGCCAGGGCACCCCAGGGCACCCCAGGTCTCCCTTGTTTTTGACTGTTTGGCTTCCTTTCTGCTTTTAAGAGGCTCGCACTCACGTGTGGCTCACCTGGAGAAGTTCCCTTGTGATGAACCTGAAGTGATCTGCTTAGTAAAATCATATCTGCCAGATCTCTTTTGCTATGTAACAAAACATAATCAGAGAATGACATCATTTTCACAGGCTCCACTCCCACTTGGGACATATTTTATAGGCAGGGGCCTTGGGAGTTCATCTTAGAATTCTGGCTGCCATACTTCACCCTCTGGCAACCAGTGATTCGTATCTGTATTCCCTTGGAAAATGCACCCACCCCATTTCAAGGTCCTCCAGTCTCATCCTGTTATCAATTCAACACCAATCTGAGAATCTCATTACTCTAATCAGATGGAATGGGGCCTGTTTGGGCACAGGTTGACTGTGGACCCATAATCTCAAGGGACACACTATCTCCCCACACTCCTGGCCTGCAGGGGGACGGGCCTGGGATGATGACGGTGGACATCCTGGTTCAGAAGCAGGGAGTTAGAAGAACAAAGAATCACTGCTCCAAAGCAGTTTTGAAATCCATCCCAGTCAACTTCAGGCCGAGTTCTTCAGCTAGGTGTTCAGACCTGGGAATAGCGTCTCTGCCTTCCCTCTGGGCTCTAGGTGCCACCTGTTGGTCCTTCGGCCCCACCCTAAGCCGTTCGCCCTTCTTCATGGAAGGGAGCCTGTGCGTCAGCCCAGGTCCTGTCAGTGTGCTGCTGCTCCATGTTTGAACCTCCAGTGCTGCCCTCAGCGTTCCCACCGGTAGGATTTTCCCAAGAACTTTGTGGGTCACATGAGGATTTCATGGGAGTTCACGCCATTAGACCAAAGTCACGTGCGTAAGCCATGTGCACAGATGTGAGCTAATCCCATCTCTATTTTTAGCTTCTGTGGTGAAAGGACAGTGCTCTTGAACTCCCTCAAGGTCCTCTATTGAGAAAATCTGCAAAGCACGCTCACCCTGCAGGCATCTCCTGAGTGGCCAAGCGCTGACCTTCCCACCTTGGGCAGGCACACACCCACTCTCCTCCGTGCCATTCTTGGCAGCCATTTCTACCTTGGGCGTCTTGTCCTCTGGGGAGACCGACCATTCCAGAGTCATCTGATCATGGCTCTTGTTTGCTTGACAGCTCTCTGCAGTTGGTCTCTGTCCCCTTGCTTCTCTCTGTAAGCCACAGAAGACACGAGGCCGCACCTCCACCGTCCGCTCAGAAACTTTGCGAACCTCACTTCCCACGCAACTGCAGGAAGGTTCTTTTTCCTCCTCCCTCCTCGCCCTCCCTCTCAAGCTCTGTGCCTCTTGCACACTAAGCTTGTGCTTTCCCAGTGAGCTGCACCCCAGTCCCCAGGACACATTGCTGTAAGCACTCTGCCTGGATGTGACAGGGACCCTCCTTCCTCCAGTTTCCAGGAACCTGCCCCTTGCTTCCTCGGAGCCTTCAGCCTCCGCTGGCAGCACTGTTCCTCTGGGTTTCTGCAGCTCTGCTCCCTGTGCGGCCCTCTCACCTGCTCCGGCCCTGCCAGCAACACGCCCGCTGTCGCAGCATCTCCCACCGGTGGCCTCTCCCAGGCACCCGGGGCTTTTCTCTCCTGCTCCTCAGGCCTCTAGCCTCTGCCTGCTGCCTGGCTCCCAGTTTCAGGCGCGTTGCCGCAGCCCCTCATTTCCCTGGACTGGAATCAGCACTTGTTTTCTGCTGCTGAAGCTGGAAACGTAAAACAACAGGTCTTTATTTCTCACCGTTTCCATGGTCAGGAGTCTGGGCACAGGATCGTGGGGACCTCTGCTCAGGCTCACATGGCTCCTTTCTGGGGCTTGGAGGCCTCTTGCCAGCTCACAGGTTGTTGGCAGAACTCAATTCCTCAGGGACATAGGACTAGAGTCCCTGACGCTCTTCTTTCTGTCTCACTGGCTGCTGGCCAGCAACCGCCCTCAGCTCCCAGTGGTTGCTGGAGAACTTCTGGCATCATACTCTTCTCACCCTTGAGATCTCTGCGCCTTCTCCTCTGTGACCAGCTAGAGAGCTCCCTCAGCACAGAAGGAGAAAATATGGTCAGGTTCAGCCCTTGGGGTGATCTCCATGACTTAAAAGTCAGCTGATTGGTAACTTGATTTGTCTGTCAGATCTCTTCTGCCACGAGACACAATCCCTGAGAGACCCCAGGAGACAGAGACCATCTTAGAATTTCACTCAGAACAGCGGCCTTCCATATCTCTCCTAGGCAATGCTGCCCTGCACAGGATCATGTCTCTCTCTCTCTCTCTCTCTCTCTCTCTCTCTCTC